TGTTTATTACTTATTTACACCTTTGTCTCCCCAGAACCATAAGCAAAGTCAGCAAAGGTATCTACTTCGTTGTGGGTCTCTCCAGCTAGCTCGGTGCCTGACAGATAGACGATGCTGAGTGAACGCTCGCGAAATCAGTGAGGACATGTGCACAGCTTGGCTGCAAACAACAGAGAAGGCTTTGCAGGAGGATCTGTATGAAACAGGTGAAAGAGGAAGAGGTACCTGGATGAGTTAGCCAAGGGTGTTCGGGCTGAGTTCAAGAAAATGCTAGGACACACTTCCGTTTGTATAGAAGGTTGCCTTGAAGAATAAATCATTTTTTTCCAGCAAGTAATTTATAACACTCATTGAAGAAGAGAACAGGTTTGCAAAGAATCAACGTTGTGGTTCTAACACAGAAGTTGTCAATACCACTAAAGATTTCCACAGTCCAGAGCATTAGGCATAAGAATAGGCTGACAGTAATCATTACAAAATGTCGGTGTAAATAAAAGAGCAATGGAGAGCCATGTGGGTTTTGCTCACATTTATGAAGAAAAATAAAGAAAGGAATACAACAAAGTTCCCTTTGGGACCTTGACTTAATATGACATGCCTATTGTCTACACTGATACTACTATTTGGGGGCAGACCATGTTTCTTTGAAATGAATTAGTTCAAAGCAAGTCTCCCTTCTGGAATCTAAAGTTCTACACATATGATTAACACCTTGGAGGCATCTTTGAAGTGCAGATGCATTACTGCATATTTAACAGTGTATCATCTCTGCTTACAATAAACAGAGAAATAAAACCCCCACCATCTCAGAAATGAACCTGAGGTTCACTTTCAAGGCCCCTGTCGTTCATGATGCCATGTCATATTTTGGGAGAAAGACTGCCTTCATGCCTCTGCCTTCAGTCTGGTTAAATCTAGGTTGCTTGGTAGCTTAGGGGCTCAGCAACTAAATGAATGGCTTTGTATTTCTGAAAGGTGACTGATCTTTAATGAATTAAATGAGATGAAGAGTGGATGTTGGGAGTGACCAAGCCTGGTGGACTCGGTTCCAGCTTCTGGGTCTTCCTATTGTCCAGGGAAGAGAAGATGGCTGCCAAGATACTGACAGAGGCAAGAGAAGAAACCAACACTTCCCCTCTTCACAGCTGCTTACAGCGTCCTGCCCTCTTTCCGCTTATGAGGACCTTCCCTCAGCCCTAGAGACTGTACACGTGTCTCCTGGGTTCTGTAACCAGCATCAGAAGATCAAAGCTTCCCAGTGTGTCCTCTGGAGATGGAATGTCACGTTTGCAGGACAGATTTTCAAGCATGTCAAAGAATCCATCTCTTTGTAGCTGATTTTCCCCGAGAGAAAGAGAAAAACATGGTCATGTGGGGTATCGAGAAGCACAAGAGAAGAGCTGCATGAAATTGTAGATATTTACAATGTGATCCTGTCAGAACTGGTCTTAAAGACAGGGTGGTTCAGTGGGAGTCAGGTGGACTCGCTTCCAGTACTGGGATCTTGGTAATGCGATTCAAAATCACTGGGCCTTAGTTTTCTTAATGATAGGGTTGCAGAGTACCTGAGAGGTCCAGGGAGTGGCCAGGGCTCCAGCATCTTCCCAGGCCACCAAAATAGTTCATCTCTTTAATATGTTGAAACATGGATAATATCAGATGCACAAAAACAAAAACAAAACAACCAAAGAGCAAGGTGATTTGAAGACCCTGATAACTCCATCATTCTTAAGACCAAGAGGGTTGGGGGCTGGGGGAAAGCTTAAGACTTATCATCTTAATTACATACCAACAATAAGACGAATAAAGTTAAAAGTATCTATAATCTCTGGCCCTCTCCCCTCAGTTCCCTTTGTTAAAACCCAAGGATGTGCTGGCTAAATATTTTCCCCAAATTCCTGCATAACTTCAGGGGCACCATTCATATAAAAGACAATGTCACTGTGTTCCCTGTAGTATGGCACTCAGTGGCCCTGAGGAAGATGCATTTAGAGAAGAGAGGGCCTGTGTTTGAATCTTACCTCTGCCGTTTACTAGCTATTATCACCCTTGGCAAGCTACTGGATGATCTCTCTGATCCTATTTCCTTCTCTGGAAGGCAGAGATGATAAATTAGATTTCTGAAGGCTACTGCAAAGGCTGAATGAGATAACATATGTCAAGAATCTGGTGCAGGGCAGCATACCAAGGCTGATAGTAGTTCTTAAACTCACAAAACCTATGACATTTCACAGTTCAGATAACAACTGTTACTAGGATGTGTAGTCCATATGGTGAGGACAGACCAAAAGATACTGTGAAATTTGTAACAGATCTCATCTGTTGAAGATAGGATAGGTATTCCCAAAATTAAAGGGATCAGAATGTTGTGACCCAAGAACTACGCACTTTTTAAGTCTGATTTGTGGTAAGTGGCAGAAAGGAAGACTAATTGGTATGCTAATTAACCAGGGTGTGTTGGTACAACTGTTACCAAGGATAAGCAACTGTTTAAATAAGACAAGGTGCACTCATGAAGGACCTATGTGCTGCCAAAAAAATACTATGTGCTTAATGCAAAGTCTTTTGCCTTCCTTAGGCATCTAGGACCAGTCGATATTTATTTAACTGTGCCAAGTCTTTTATTTGACTTGTAATTAAGAAGTGATTAATCTACACAATAAAGCTGTAACTTAAGCATTACTGATTCTCAGAATATTAAACCCGAAGTGGACTGTAGATATCTAATCCAACCTCCGCATATCACAGCAGCGAAAAGTGAGGTCTAAGGAAGACGAGACTCACACCTGCGGTCTCAAAAGGCAGAGCCAGTTCTGGCACTTGGTCTCATCCACTTTGTCTTCTTCTAACTACAGGGAATCAATCTGCAGCTTTATCCAACACACAGCAATTTAACATTGGGTATATGGATTCCTGTCTCAACCCTGCATCCTTTGGGGCTCACAGGGCACCAGAAGACCTCTGAAGCGCTGGGCCAGTGACTGAAAGAAGCGGCTGAGTGGGACTGTGTCAGAGGGTCTGAGGACATTCAAGAAGGTAATGAAGGGCATACAGAAAGGCTGTTAGGGACCTGCCTGTCTGGAATATGGGGGGGTGAAGCTGGGGTCTATTAAGGAACCAAATGATTTTCTGTATCTAGGATGGAGCATGGTGACCAGCACATAATAGGTACTTAGAGCTTACTTGTATTACTGGATGATGCACCAGGAGTGGATGAATGAATGAAGGAATGCATGCATGCATGAAAGGAATGGTTTGGAGAGAAGAAATGAGAGCCTCAGAGGCAAAAGAGATGAGGGACTGCCTAGTGAGAAGAGCTCCTCTCAACCTTAGCAGGAAGGATGAGCCTCATTTCTCTTGCAAGGACAGTGGAGGGAGTGCGGCTATGGCCCTCCTGCTTTGGCCTCACATTTCCCTTCTGAGGAAATGTGGCAGTTCCCATGGTGCTGTTTCTGCTTCTGGCCAATCTGCTCTCAGGACGGAACAAGCAGAAATGGAATGCGTGAGGGGAGTCTATCTCCAAGGGCAACAGAAATGTCAAACCCATAATGTCAACATTATTTTCAGAGGAGACTCTGCTTAAGTGCCATCCATGCATCTACAGACCATACGGCTACTGATGGAAAAATGCTTCCTAGTAGGAACTTGACATCAAGAAACCAATCTGATTCTCGGAGAGCAGAGAAAACCCTACTCAATAAAGAATGAGGGAAAGCTGGGACTCCCCGGTCAATTCTCCAGTCACTGAAAAACTCAGTCATCTGTGGCCATGAACTCGGGGCATTCTCACCTGCCACGTCAGTTAAAGCTGGGCTTTGCGAGTGGGATCCACGTGAGGAGTATTGGTGGCCCAGACATGAGAGCAAGCGGCATCTCATCCTATTTTCTAAACAGTAAGAGGTCAGCATCACACGTTCTCTTACAACATCTACATCTCACAGTTTTTACTTCTGTACACAGGATGGGGTCGCTTTGAAGAAGACAGGCACGACTCATCACCTCTGATAGTTTTTGAGGACTAAATGGAGAAGCTATAATAAAATACTGCATCAGCGCCTAAGGAAGGCCCTGCGAGGTTCTCACGATGTCAGCAACTTACTGTTTGAGATCCTCTCCCACGACATCTAGCAGGCTAAGGGCAAAGCGACAGTGTGTACCCAGCAGGTGCCTGGGCAGAATGATGGGTTCTGCGCCGTGTTCATAGGAAAGATATGTACAGGCCGAGGAGAAATTGTAATGTCTATAATGTGACCTTCATTTGACATTTGATTAAGATAAAGTTGGGGCACAAAAAATTTTTTTTCTTCAAAACCGGGAGAATAGGTCACTGAAGAGAGCAACGATATAAACGTTCTTCCTCAGCTCCCAGAGTGACTGGCAAGGCTTTTTGAAAATATTTTTAGCCCAGTTTCAGTTCCCTAAAAAGCAACGCCACCTAAAAGAAATGTGTTAAGCACCCTCTAAATGTTTCTCATTAAGTTGCCAACACGGGTACTCACCCCTTAAGGCTGGCTTCCAGCTCTCTGCCTAACTCCACTCTGCAGGCCATTCGAGGAATAAACCTAAGACTAACTGCTATGCGAAAGAAAGGTATTACCTCTGTAAGAATCTGTATGTCCGTCTTTGTAAAATATCTTGAGAAATAATAGGAAAAAGCAGCCTAGAAAACAGTGCTCTGCAATGAATTTATGGAAATGGTAGTTAAGAACCCAAAACTGAAAGGTTTTCCTAATGAAGGGACAGGTTTGTTCTCATAGTAGAAATAATCTTAGTGAAGTGGCTAATTCTTCCAAAAAGACCAGCTTTTGGTTAAGAGTGAAAACATACCACTTTGTCTAGATTTAGCATACGATGAACTCTCTAGAATGGTTCTCATGCTGTCTAGCTCTGAGTATCCTGATTCTTTTTTTGTCTTTAATTATGCTGCTGACACCTACCTTTTTATGTGAAAGCGAGTCTAAGGAAACAGGGTGACCAAAGCCATACAAATGCCCACTCACCTCCCATGATTTTGGACTGGCAGTTAATAAACTCTGGCTTCCTGTCCGTGAGGTACCTCTGGCAGGTGTGGTGGAGAATCTGGAAGAAGGTGCATTTTTCTGAAGCTGTGCTGGCTACCCACTGGTCAAATGCATTTTCAAACAACAGATCAAATTCTGCGGAATCCTGGAACAGACAGGGAAATTGGTACTGATCTCAACCTGCAAAAACTACTGTTTCCAGCTTACCCCTGACAAGACTCATAAAGGCTGACATACCTTTCAAACTTTGGTCTGAATCACAGGGCTCATCTTTATTAGCACCCAGGTGAATGGAAAGAAAGTTCACTTTTCTCTGTTTATCAAGCAAGCCCCACATCTTGGCGTATTTATAGATGTCCCTAGGAGGCTAGTCTCGCAGAAGCCCCAACAGCTTACTCCACATTGACCTGGCACAATTTAGACTAGATACTGCCTTCCCAATGACCTGGAAAAGGATTCCTTCACGTACTTAGCAATGAATCCTGCCCCTCACCTTTGGTAAGGAAAAGATTCTCCCTTATTATTTTAGCATATAGTTACAATTTACATTTTATTTTTCATTATATATACAGTGAGTGCATGTGAACAGAAGGGAAAGTACTTAAATAAATAAAAACTCTATCTTAAAACATTTCTCCTATTAAATCTGCGAGAAGCCTAATACATAATTTGTAAGGTGCCATCTATTTATTTGTCTGTTTGACTAATAAGTCTCATCAATGGTGGTATAAAGAGATAAATGAAGCCTTGATTAACATGAGTTTTTCATACTGTGGGGGTATAAAGAGATAATGAAGCTTTGATGAACATGGGTTTTTCATACTGGCAACCATGGACACGATATCTGAACTCTGCTCTTTGCACTTGGCTCATAAACCTACTATAGGAGCCAGTATTTCTTCAATGTGCATCCCCTTACATTTCTGCATCAAACATGATGAAAAGACTTAGAGTTCCCCATAAGAAGGACATAGAAATCAAAAAGTCTTAGCCACATAACTGAACTAGAGAAATAGCTTTGTCAAAGAGGACTGAGACAGCCACTACCATTGCCAAGGTCAGTGAGAGAGTCATCGTGTAAAGAGAACACCTTCGCTCAACACCAGACATTCACTCACCCGATTAGGATCGATGCCATTAACCTGGCGAAGCTGTTCAAGCATCCACTGTGACCTCCGCACGAATGACGTGGAGCCTTCAAACTGTTTGACCTTCGTGATGGATGCCTGTGTAGGTTTCTTGTTTGTCACTGCCAAGAAAAGACCACTCAGGTTAGTGGGTGTGCAGGCTGGTTCGTTTCCATCTTAGACCTACATGTGTGTGTACACACACACACACACACACACACACACACACACACACAGAATATGAATACGTGTGCCTTTTTTTTTTTTTAAGAGAGAGAGAGAGAGAGAGAGAGAGTGAGTGTGGGGAGAGAGAGGGGCAGAGAGAATCTCAGGCAGGCTTCATGCTCAGGTAGAGCCCAATGTGGGCCTCTACGCCACGGCCCTGGGTTCATGACCTGAGCCAAAATGAAAAGTCAGACACTCAACTGACAGCTACCCAGGAGCCGTTGAATACATATGCCTTTGATGAGGCATGAACTCAAAAGAAAGAGAAGTTCTCTCTACTCTCAAGCAATTACAAAGTAATTATAATTTTAAGGGCTGCTTCATTTCTATCTTCATTCATTCACACTGAATGCGCCTCAATCAGGTAACGCCAGGCGCTTTTAATGGAGGCTGCCAGAGCATGATGACCAACTGCATGGAAAGCAGCATACAGCTGACAGGTGTCAGGTAAAGGTCACTGGGAAAGGCTGGGTTTTAAAGGAAGTGGATGTTACTGGCTCCCCTAGGGAAATGCAATGTACATATCTAAAGTCATATCTGAAAGTAAATATAACGGGCTTCCATGGTAAGAGAGGGAATATTTAAAATGTTATTCGGCTTTAAAATATTGTCCAGTTTGAATCTAGCTTGCGTCTCCTTATGCCTGTATTTGGCATTCACGTACCCGCCTGCCCCATATTCCTGAGGTCTCCGCACCTGCAGGAACAAGAGAGTTCCTCCTCCCTGCCTTAGTCAGGTCTCCCTTTGACCCTTCCCTGCTGAGGATGGACAGTGTCACCTCTCAGACAGAGGTCAAGCGCCGGTTGCTAGGAGAGAGTCACTCTGGATATTTCTATATCTGATTACTTCGTGACTTAGGGCCTCAAGGGTGGGGACATAACTAAGTGTTATAAAAGGGCTTTCATATAAGCTCCTCCTGAGGCCTGGCTGTACGACTTGTAAAATTTAACAGGAATGCTGCTATTAAGGGCACTAGGAAAACGGGAAAGCACTACTTGTAACGAATGCAATCCTAAGACAGCCGTGCGGCAGCGGCACATTCTTTGTTGCGAACGGCCCTGCAGATCCCTTATTTCCATATGACTCTGCAGATGCTCGTCAGATGGCAAAAAGAATCCTTGAGGATGAAGGCCAGCAAGCACCCGCTCCGGTCACGACTGCTGGTAAGAAGACCCTCCATCGTGCACACAGAGGTCTGTGCAGTTGCAATATCTGGGGTCAGTAAAGCAGGAACCCAGAGACCAAGCGGGGAATGAAACGTGGGCATCCTGCCTTTAGGTCTGGCAAGAACCGCATGGTTCCAGGGCTAACAACCTGTTTTTTATGAACTCAGTACAATCTTTTCCCTTTGCTCCAAACCAGAATTTAGCAAACATTTAAAAAATAATTTCAGATAATGCTTAGGTTTATTACCCATTATTTCAGTTATATTTGGCTAAAAGCTTCTGAACGTTTCATACCAATTACGTTTACTTTCGTGGTTAAAAAGTCATCATGCCCTTAACACCGCGGTCAGAGGAAATTTTATAGTCTTCTGCTCACACACAGTCTGTCTGGCTGACAGCTCCGTGTGTAAGTCTGTTAAGTCCTCTTAGGAATAACCAGCCCCCGAACTAAATTCAAGCAACAGTGTCAGTCTGCCCAGGGCTCTGTCTATCCATTTATTTTGTGTGTCTCCTATGAGACCTAATAGGTTTCTCTGACAGCCATGCCCTGCTCTTCTGTCTTCATGTTAGAGGAAACAAGACACCTGGAATACACGCAGGTCCTAAAATGTGCTTAAAAGATTAAAGAATACTTTTCAATAACAGGAAAACATGGGTTCCTGTATTAGACACACACCCCTAAACACACAAAGAGGATTTCCTCCTCTGTTTATGTAAATCACACGACATTTAGGCATCCTGGGAAACATGAGGGTTTCCCTTCTACCTTTACAGTTGTTATGAACTCCTGTTTTTACTTCTGGTCCACTTATTTCCAAGTGGTTTACAGCACTGTAAAAACTCAAACACAATGCAGGGTCCCTGTAATTACTGGCATGTTTGGGACTGACATCTTAGAAAAAGCAAGTTCCACTGGAAGTCTGTCACTGAAACGAGAAGGGCAGGAACCCCACCCACATGACAAATGCCCCATAGAACGGCTAAAGGAGATCGTGCTGCACAGCGATCATTTTTTCACGGAGGCAGTGACAACTCCAACCACTGCTGCCTTGTTCTCCCGATTAGCTTATTCTTTGCCCAGTTCTTGGAATCTTGGTAGTTTTCCTGGGCACTGAGCCCGGTTTGGTTTAATTTTTGTTTATTGTTATTATCTCCAAAATCCCAGTTTCTATTTTGAAGCAGGTGCCTTAAAATTATATTATTATATACACATTATATAGAGTTAAATAAAGACTTTCCCCTTCAGAAATCAAAACAACTGCACAAACACACCATTGCCAGACTTTCTGAGCCTCTGTGTTTGATGGAGCCATGTTTTAACCCCTTCAGTGCTTTGGCGTTTTCGGGGTCCATAGCTGATAAGAAAATATGCTGGTCAAATTCTGGAAGTTGAGTGAAAAAAAAGTCATCTATCTTTTCCTTCCAAAGGACAACTGATTGACAGCACACCCTGGGTCAGTAATACTGGAGTGCTGCGTGTCCAACTACCCCAATACAATAAACTCTTCATTCTTTACTGTGAAGGGCTTTAAAGGGCAGATCACTGGGGCACTTCTATTATGCCTTCAACATTCATGGGGAAAAGGCAAACATATAGGCATTTAAAGAGGTAGGGTGAGGGGCGGCCGGGTAGCTCAGTCGATTAAGTGTCCGACTTCAGCTCAGGTCATGATCTCAGGGTTCCTGAGTTCGAGTCCTGCATGGGGCTCTGTGCTGAGAGCTCAGAGCCTGGAGCCTGCTTCGGATTCTGTGTCTTCCTCTCTGTGTCTCAAAAAATAAATAAAACATTGAAAAAGAAAGGGGGGGGGGTAGGTTGAGCATGATACTCCCAGGTAACACCACCCATAATCAGCCTAGTTCCCTGGCTCTAAACTCCAGAATCATCTCAGAGGTTTTACAACAAATACACCAAACCACGAGAATCATAATCTCTGGAGGTGTGGCCTGGCACCCCCGTTTTAAATCTCCTCAGGTGATTCTTAGGCACTGTGACTGCTGAGGCCACTGTGGTGTATGAACCCATTTCACAAATATTTATGGAACATGTGTTAATACGGGAGGCACAGAAGTAAGTTTTGTGGGTAATTCAAAGACTGAATAAGATACAGTTCTGAGTCAAGAACTTGGGTGGTGGGGGGGCTGTTAAGAATGATACAAAAACAGTGCTGATGCATAACGAGAGTCACCCAAGGTGTTGGGGCAGGAGGGGGCTTTAAGGACCAAGGCAGAGCTGGGGAAGGTCAGGTAGGCTTCGTGAAGCTGCTACATTCCAGGTAATAGACCATTAGCCCTTGCCTGGACTTCTATGATTTCTCCCAAACTGGATCCTCTGGCCAGATTGGCCATTCACACTTAAAATATGGAAGACCGTCTTTTAAAATCTCCTCAGTGGCATCCCAAAACATTCTGAATAAAACCCAAGGCCCTCACTGTGACCCACAAGGCCCTAGATGATCTGGCCCTTGAGTACCTCCCGGTTCTCATCTCTTTCCACTCTCCTTTTTGTCCACTAGGCTCCAGCCATCTTCTGGCTCCTGGGAAACTGCAACCCCTTTCTCTTTGCAAATGCTGTTTCCTTCACAGAAATGCTCCTTCCTTTATTTTCTGTATGGTTGTCTCTTGTTCACCATTTGGATTTCAGCTTACATGTCAACTCCATACAGAAAACTTCTGTGATCATTGATCCGTGTAGGCTCCCTCACCGGGTTATTTCTTTCACCGGGTTATTTCAGTGCAAAACAGGTTCACTTTGAACCTGGATAAAATACTCAAAATCTGCTTCTCTGGCATATTTGTAAAGAATAAAAACCAGACTGCGATGATGTCCATCTGGTCCTAAAACATGTAAGAGGTAGATACATTCCTACATGGGCCTTCTGAGTTTGTGAGGTAGGATCCTATAAATCGACATAATCACAAGTAACATTTCCCCCAGCAATTAACATCTTTAAATATCTTTTTAAAATACAGCTTCTGGTTTTCTCTCTTGTACTTGACAACAGGTGACAGGCAGGGTTACTGCTATTATCACCCATTATATTTATAGACAAGGAAACTGAGGCATGGAAAGCACTGACTTGCCAAAGTAATACTGCTAATAAACGGGAAAACTGCAACTTGCGCAATAAGCTTAGGGGCCACTGCTCTTTCCACTGTAGCTTTTTGCTGCAATGTCAAATCCCACATTTTATTGCATGTGGGATGCTCATTAAGTAAGGACTAACTGAATTTTTTGTTCTAATAAAGATACTACTGTTGTGATTTTGACAGTATCCTGAACTGTTATTTCCTTAATATTTCCCTTGAGATAAATGGCTTTTTACTTGAATAAGTTAATGAGAAACAAAACCTATTAAAGCCATAAATAGGTATATAGCTCTGCCTACATTAAATAGAAACTAATGTAAAAATACAATTAAAACATAACTGCTGTTAATTTCAAATTAGAGAGTTGTCAAGGGAAGGTTTGGCATTTGAGTTCCACTCTAAGGTAAAATGGTGATTAGCGAGTGTAGACAGGTGTTAAAGACAATCACAGCAGAGATGTTCCCCACACTTACGGAGTTATCTAGGCGTAATGCTAATACTGCTTCTTCACTCCCTCCCACTCCTGCCACTCATTGCTTTCTATTGGTAACAGAGAAAGTAGAAGCATAGGGCCAAGCAAAGTCAAGTCCTTTTGCTACTAGCTCAGAGAAAAAGAATGTGGTTCTCATGGGGGCACATCTCTT